CTGCCACTTTTCCTCCCGTTCTAATGCGTTCGACTATTCGCACACGTTCCAACGTACGTATTCTATAAAAATAAGAGACAAGTCGCAAAATAGCGCTGATTAGTCCCGATAAAACATTGATAAATCGTGACTAAAAATAAAAGGTCGCTAAAAACTCGCCGACTAATTGCGACATAACATCGCAACAATCGAACACCAAGTCACCTAAAAGTCGCCGATTTTTAAGCGATTTTTATCACATGGGACTTGTTCGTTCCAACAGAGAAGATTTCTATTTGTCCATATTTGAGTGAATAATTATTTATTGTTGGCTGCCATATGTTTGTTGTCTATATCGACATGTAATCGTTTTATTAAAACAAGCACATCGTCAATCATTCCATAGTCTTGTATAGAATTCCCTTGCTTCACGTCTACAATTAGGACTAAATCGACATGTAATTCTATTGCATAAACGATAGTATAACAAATTTCACCAGATTCAGAATGAGTGCACAGATATGCAAAATAATCAGGATTTTTATGGGAACTATGTGATAGTCCAATGGGCAAACGATCGTCTTATTAAATCATGCGTTAAAGAGACTATTGTAGCAACAGACTCTCCACACGGCTGTTGATCAATTGAACATAAACGACCGTCGTTAAAACAGCCTTGATATTTCGTAGGATCGTAACAATGTTAGAATTTAAGGCCTTAAGTCGTTTGATTCACTTTACATAGTGTACGATTATTGTGACAGGACCATTTTTTTGGATTATAATTTTAATCGTTGCGCACTCCCATTTCATCCGTTGCACATTATCATTTTTCACACAAATCTGATCACTGTTCGGTCACTGACAGAAATGTTTGTTTTCAAAACAAAATATAGATCATTTGAACCATATTTACCAGTAGAGTCTTCTCTGTGATTAAGTATTTTTCGCTGATTGCCAGAGGATAATAAAATTATTATTCATCACCTTCACATAGTATATTTTCTATCGGGCGAACAGCTGTATTATCGAAACAAATGTGACCAATACGGTGCATATGATTTATATTCGTCGCACAATTGAGTTCAAAAAGAAATTAGTCTTATTTTTCCAACATCGATAATGTTTGTGGTCGTAACATTGTGAATTACATAATTCGAAACTAGCTCTATAAACGGAAAAAACAATTAAGATATTTTTGCAATCAATGATAATAACGACGGTCTTCTGCACACATTTTCATTTCTTTATCTGTACACTCAGGTTTTATCATCTATGCATTGCTAAAATACTAAAACAATGATAGAAAACATTTTTCAACACACATAATTTGTTCATATTTATATATAATAGATCTATTCACATAAGCTAATTTTTTTTTAATAGCATCGTTTGTTTCTATATGCTTTATGTAAAGGTGGTCATAAAATTAGATTATTAATCCACACTTGTAATATTGGATGATAGCATCAATTGTCACATAATATCAATTTCCATTAATAGTTAGCTTGATTCAATAAGATGTTTTTGACACACGTGTAAATAGTTAGAATAAAACGTTCTTGATACCTTAATTTACAGGCAGTATAATTTCTTTCACGCTCAGAAAATGTTTTGGCTCTTGTGGCATTTAACTCTTCAAACAATTCTGAGTTTTATTTGTGTACACTGTCATTGCAAGTTCAATGTGGACTATCAGAAGAAAAACAGGTTTAAGGACTCGGAAAATGACACTTCGGACCCTCGATATAAGCTTCCGAGGGGTATCGATTTCGAACCCTCGGATTTCGGATAGATAGCGAGCGCTCGAGAAAAATTTCGAGCCATCGAACAGAGATGTTCGGGACTTCCGAGCCCTTGTCGCCCGAAGGTGCGACAGTTAAGTTTTCAGAACATTTTCGCTAATTTTAGGTACTGCAGAACTCGAAACGGCTCCGTTTGGCAAGATTTTGATTTGAAAATTAAATGAATTCTATTTTTTTATAACTATAGATTGATAAAAATTTGAGTAGACTGATACTTCTTTGTAAATGACAATATCTTCCTGATTTTAAATAGATGTCTTAACCCTCTACTCCCGACTGTCCCTCCAAAAGGACATTACCATATATGATAATAATTTATATAAAAAGGAACGAAGTGGCAAATCAAAAAATGGATTTTTTTTCTAGAGTAAGCTGACAGTATAAACTAGCGATTGCTAATAAGAAATTTTTTATCAATCCTAAACAAAGATATACGAGTTTCACGTTCGGTTTGCATGATCAGCGGCCGACGTTAAAGGGTTAAACAAGAAATACGAGACGGTCATTTTCCTTTGGCCGCCAATGAACTCAAAGCAGGACCACGATCAATGTTCTCTTATATTTGTGATTATATTTATTAGTTTTTTGCGCCAACAACAAATTAAAACCTTTTAGGCCCTTCGATGATGAACGTTGCATTATTTCTACCATTTTTACTTTTCTGACCAGGGTGCAGAATTTATCGAACTTCCCACATTCTTAATTTAACATGTTGCTGACATTTTTGAACATGTGTTTGTTCAATTGTCGAATGCAGTTGCTAATAAATTAGAAAAGAAAAAATACTTGATGTTTGTGTAATTATGCCAGAGATTTTTTCTGTAGTTTTGGAACAGTTCGCCGCAGGAATTAAAGCTAACACATATTTGATGAAAGAAATTGATTCAAAAGATTAGTTTTAGTTAGATATAAAAACTTTTGGCATAATTTCTTCAAAACATCATACATTAATTCTTCCAGACAAAAAGCAAGTTAAATAGTTTTGGGTCTTCCTTCATGAATTGACTAAAAAAATTGAGTATGAATAAAAATGAAGTATACTAAACTGTTTTTAGTAAATGAATTTCTCTTATCCATTTTCTAGTCAAGTTGGTTTAAAATTATAAAGATAGAAAGGAAAGTCTTTTTCTACCTTTTATCAGTAATAAACAGCTGTTGATGACACGATGTTTAGATATAAAAACATGAGTCAAACAAGTAAAAACAAATGAAAATTGCAAAACGTATAGTACGATCTTAACAGTTTTCATCATGTATCATATTCGTGCATCATGTTTAGAACTTATTAGAGATTTGGATTATGACACAGATATAACATTCGACCAGTTAAATGATAATATTTTGAGAGTATTTTCTCAATATTCGGTTAATAGTGATACAGCAATAATCACTTATTTCAATAAAGATAATGTTGAACTTCTTTTGGATCAAATTGAAATCTTGCCAACAAATGGTGATATATTTCATGTATTTGTTAAAAAAGTATGTTAACTTTAGGTTAAAAATAGGTAAAGAAGAGAAAAAATGTCTAGTGATGAGCCAATATTACTGCGGTAGTAACATTTTGCCACTTTACAAAGTTAACTCCACAAAATTTATGTTTTATCCACACACAGTACAGTGGTAAAAACGAACGAATCTGTTTTGCGATGGCAGCACATGGCGGAAACGTCTTCACGAAAAGAGTAAATGTATGATATAAAACTGTCAAACTCGGAATCACTATGTTAAAAAACGGTCCTCGACTAAGTTTGCACTCAATCGAGACGTCCGACATCTCTGAATGATGTCCAACGTGATGAATGGCACTCATGATCTATTTTTCTTCGTATGGATAGTGACTCAACAAAAAATTGTTTTCAATGTGCGTCTCAGAGATACTCGAACTTGCTGGCGAGCCGTTTTTTGGCTAAGAGTTTGACAGTTTTTCGTCATATTTCGGCCATTCCCAAGAAGTCGCTCGTGCAATATGGAGAGAACGTGTTTAATTTTTAAGATAGTTTGCTAAATCTCGTCTGTCTATCTATCATCCACGGTCCAACGAATTCTATCGCAAAATCTCCTCTCTAAGGTAATTGAGTAAGTAGCTTCCTTTTGTAAAACGTGTTTTCAGATGGATCAGCTTTTATCCAGCGTCACATTACAAAAATGTGCTAAAGCGAACACTTTTTATGATAGGGACACGTTTTTTACAGATTTCCAGCACTTGGATTGGACGCTGAGTCCAGATTCTTCAACAACTTTAAGTTTTAAATTCTTTTGAATTTGTAATATTTTCATATCATTTCCATCTGGTAAATGCGTTTGGTCATCCTTTATAATGACTGAAAAATCTGGATAAGTTGTTGCTGTTGCTTCGCATTTCACATGCACATAATACTCTGAATTTTCATTATTACGTTTAAAACAATATCGATAACTTCATGTGTTTTAAAATGTAATTAAAATGGAAAATAATCAACGCAGTAAATCGTGTTGTCGACTTAAAGTAAACCTTTTTTTCTTTATAGTAGAAGTTTTGACAGAAAGCGGAATTCTGTTAAATATATTGTTTTTATAGGTTTGGGATTGTTGTTCATTATGTTTACAAACATTTAGTATCACAGACGATCAGTTACCAATGGAATGTTTAGGAAAAAAATGTGGTTACCAATATTGTCATAAATGTATAAAAACTCTTCGAGGATTGGATGGTCAACCATTTTTTTGTATGTTTTGTAAAAAACAATACGCTAAACTAGAAAATGGACCAAAACGTAATGAATTGATAGAAAAATATTTATTATGGCCACAATTTAGTAAAAAATATGGTAGTGAAAGTGTAACATCATTAGGAATTGTATTGATACTAGATAATTTACAAAGTGATTTAGAGTGTAGAAAAGCTCATTTACTATCACGCTCAACAACATTACTTAATAAACTATTTAAACGAAATGTCGATGTTAATGAAGATATGGAGTTAAATGAAGTAGATCAATTATTACAACAATTTGAATTGATACAGAATCAAATTCAACAAATTTTTAATAGAATGAATCATAATACGACTGTTGACAATTGTTTATTTGAGTATAGAGAAATCTTAAGTGGGAATGAAGATTGTTATCCATCATTTATACATCTGTGTCAATCATTAATTAATTACATTGAAGTGTTCGACAACTATAGTGATCCATCTCTATATCAACATGAAGTGACTGATTATGAGGAAACTAAGTATTGTGTTAATGATGTCAATTCATTATCATCTGAAGATTCTTTGTCATCCATTAAGGCCATATTAGACGATATTATGTTTCGGAAAAAATGTTTGATACCATTGCGCGAGACTTTACAATTGATGTTAACCGATGATCTTGGACAACATCCGTATACAAACTATCTAAACGATGAAATGAGAAAAGTTGAATTAATGGAATTATCAATTAAAATAATCGAAAATAAAATAATAAATCTTCATACAATTTTTACTGATATTAATATTTGTATAACAAATTATAAAAACATATTGAAAGATGATAACAATTTCACGGTAGATTGCTCGAAATTTATAAGATTATGTGAATTATTACATATGAGAATTGAACAATTAGAAATTGAAGAAAATTTTCCGCAACTAACACAATTAACTAATGAATGGAAAGATATTTATGATAATGATAATGAATTTAAACCAAAGATTATTCAAGTACTCAAAGCTGTTGAATATGATCTCGTTAATAAATATGGAGAAAATCGACAATATACACCCTATACAATACCGTATAAAGTTGGAATTATTGGATGTCGAAGTGTAGGTAAAAGTTCATTGCACAATCGTCTTCGAAATATTGAAACTGAATATGATCCATTATTTTCACCGGTTGCCATTGAAAAAAGTACATTTTGTTATTTACAATTTGATAAGATATATTCATCTAACACTGATAATAACAATAATCAAATTCCAATTAGTTTCATTGATATTGAAGGTTGCACAGATATTGATTCTGAATTAAAATCGGGTAATTACTTCGAGGAAATATGTAAAGTTGATTGTGATTTATATTTAATTGTATTTGATCGTGAATTTTCAAAATTAGAACTAAGTTGGAAAAAATATATTGAAAATACTATGAATCGAAAATATTTACTTGTTCGAACAAAAGTTGATAGTCTCTTTCTTGATTGTTATCAACAAGAATTTAAAATTCAATTTAATAATAGTCAAATAATTGATGAACAAAAAATAAAACGAATATTAAATAAATGTCATACAATTGCATGTAAAACTCAATATAATAATAAACTTGAAAAGGTTTATTTAACTGCCTCAAAATATCCTCGATGTGACCATCTTATTTCTAACGCATATTTTAGTGATTTTGATAAACAACAATTAATCGATGATATTATTGAAATAGCAATACACGATAGCCGTGAGGAGCGTTTAAGAAAAATAGCTGTAATAACAACTGCTAAGTTAATAAATACATGTTTTAGACGCGGTTATGTTGTATCCGTAATGAAATATAAAATTGCTGCTGGTATAGCAAGTAGTATTCCATTTGGTGATGAAATTCCACGGTATTTTGGACGAGAAAAAGTTCGACAAGTATTTGGTGTTCATAATAATTCTTATATAACAAACAAATGGAACAAAACAACGAATGAATTACAAACATATTTGATGAAATATAAATTACATATTTTAAAAAATGATATGTATACTAATGCTTTTTCATATTTATTTGATAGAACAAATACCATTGAAAAAATTGCTGTCACTAGAGATGATGAAGGAGTAGGAGTTAAAAGAAAACTAGTTAGGAGTACATATACGAAAAAAATTCGAATGAAAGATGGAGATAATAACGGAAAAATATTGAAAAAAATATTTCCACTAACAACTAGTCGTGCTTTAATAGCTATTGGTGGAGCTGCTGATGCTGGCATTCGTTTAGCAGCACCAACAGCTTCATGGGGCTTGCGCGTAGGACTAAGTGTTGGTTTGGCTGGTGTTGGATTTGTTCTAGCGATTCCATTATGTGCTTGGGCAGCCATTTCAAATGGTAAACAAATGCACAATTATTTACATTTACTTTGCAATGATTTATTAGTTTTAAACGAATATTTTATAACAACTGTTATTAATCAATGTTTACAGAATAATGATGAATTAACAGCAGATTTTGGTGCATCAACAATTGAATCATTTCCAAATCTTTTTGAATTAGACGATGACATGGATTGTGTCCTTATTAATCGTAGACAGACTACCAATTGAAAATTATCATTCGAAACATTTGTCTAATCCTTTTCTGTAACACAAACTATGATATTACACCATAGATTAAAATATTGAAAAGATGCTTTAAAACTTCTTCGTAGAAGACATCTTATGTGTCTTTCTGGAAGGCACAAAACAAAAAGGAGAAATACCCGTCCAGTGAAGATTTGAGCTCGCTATCTTATGTTTGGGGTGAGCACTAAGGCAGAGCAACCCTCTTGCGTGGATCATGACCTATACTTTCACGGCAATGACCAGATTTCTGGAAAATCGGATTGTGATTCGAAAATGTTGCAAACGCTGTAGGGCTTGTTCTTAATTTTCGCGCTCTTCGTCGAAAGCCAGCTTATATAAAGTATAAAATTGAGCTAGCTTTTTAGAAAATATGTACTTTTTACTAGTAGACTACCTGGAATACAGTACTTCACGTCCGTTTATTCTCTGTCTCTTTCTCGACTACTGAAAATTTCAAACTATTTAGTTTTGTGAAAAAACATTCTCTTCAAAGCAAGAAGTCTCCAAACTTTTCACAATATTGACGTGCTGAGATATAAGCGTTTTGGTAAAAGCTCTAGAAAACGTGACTTTCGTGATACAGCTCTCTGGTTCAAACCTCGTTTTAGTCTCATTGCACATAAACTTATCCAATCAAAACTTTATCCGTTCAAGTTCAAATTTTTACCACAGATACTAGACATATATACTCTTGGACGCTTTCCTCCTGGCAGACGCGAATAATCGGAGTCATCCGTATTTTCTTTTCCAGCCGAAGAGAAAACATTGGAAAAGGATAAAGCGAAATCAAGTCTATGAATGGAAGCTTTTTATAAAATCATTTCTTACCATGCGCGTTTGTAAAGCTCATCAAGTGCTCAATGCGTATAAATTTTTCTGACTATCGGACATGTTCTTAGTGTACGATGCACAATTCAAAACTGAATTATTTCAAGAAATTAACTTCACGAAAAACGTAGTAAAAAGCTCAGTTTAGTAGAAAATAAGTGAACAAGAGTGTTAGACTTCAATCTGAGTCATGGGTAACTTATATCTATTGTTTAATCTTATTTATTTTTTAAGTCGAACATTTTTGCTTGCGGTCGGTCGATCTTTTAGTGCAGATTTTTCAATTGAATCGACTATATAAGAATTGCTATGATAGGTTATTATTTTGATTTATTGCGAAATGAGATGTTCACTCATATTGTTCTGATTAAATTTATACTTCTCAAAGTAAATTATGCTTTTAAGTGGTCAAGCAAACTACGACTGTCTCATCTAATATTATAAGAACAAAAAAATAGATTAGCGAAATTAGATTATAATTTTCAAATACTTATAAATTTGTCTGCTTCATCATCCGATAGTTCGATGTCTGTCTGGGCCACTGGGTATGTGCCGAAATCGATGATGCAACAGAAATTTTTGCAAACTAGTAACGTAGAAACTGCGTAGAAGGGAGAAAGGAATATTAAAATAATTATCGTTACGACACGACCGTTTGTTTTGAGAAAATCATATTTGAATTTACGGGTAAAACACGAAAACATGTCACCTTTAGTACATGTTCCACATTCACCTAATTATCATATAAGTGTAAGACTTTGTCCAAATTTAGTAACATTTTAACTCTTTATGATCAGCTACGGCTGCGAAGGGTAGAACAAACACCAGTAAAACTAGCCGAAAAAAGTTTAGCGACCGTCCTTTTTGTTGCTCATCAACCCTCACACAGAAAAAGCGAAATGTTAGAAAATACTGAGAATTTCTGTAAAAGATTTCTTTTGTACGTCCTCACCATGCGCGTAAAAGAGAATAGGATAGCTTGAACTGTGGCTGCTTCGTGAAAGGAGACCTTCAAGTGATAAATGGGGAGCTATATATGCACATATCGCTCAGTAGTTTTGTGTAGCTAACGGCGATCGGACTAGTAATCGAAAGTTTCATTGAACATAAATAACGATAATTAAAGATTGAAAACAAGTAAGGTGTCGACAACTATACGCATGACTTTTTTCGCGAACTCGAAGAGCTATTTTAAAAGAAAAATCTATGCAAACCTAATTCAGACTACGTGATTCACATATCGGCATGATATAAAACAGAGTTGACATTATTCACTGTTGTTGCTTTTTCCACAATAAAAACAAACTCATAGATCATATCTTGACCAAATTTTTCCAGCACTGTCAAAGTGGCATGTGTATATATATATATATAGAAGACAACGCCACTCTGAAAAATTGACCTAAGTTTCACAATAATGATGAAGGAAAAATCGAATGTTGTCACAAAATCACTAATTTACATTAAGTTTAACGAACAGAACAGACGTTTTATCATCTATTCTTTTTTTAAAAGAAATTAGATTGTTTTTGATAAAATAAAATAATCGTATTCAGTTTCTGTATCACTATCGTTTGGATCACTTGTATCTTTTCTATAATCGAGACGATAATAAAATTTTAATGCATGAACATTTGATTTTTTTACAGTTAATATAAGTTTTTTCATTTTATTTAATTGACATAAATGTTCTAAAATAATCATAATTTGTCGACCAAGTCGAAGATTTTGATATGCTTTTGTTACTTGTATTTCATATATATATATAACAGGAAGTTTAAAGTCTATATCAAAACGAAAATGAGAATAGGCAACAATATGATCAGTAGTATCATTCACTAATAAATAACGTGAATCACGATGAAATAATTCTGCTCGTTTCTCGATTGGATCATAGCTACTATTTGATATATCATAAAATGATTTCATATTATTTTCAAATAATTCAAATATATCTCGCATTTGATTAGCATTTAATATTTGACCAAAAGTAACATTAAAATCAAATTTTTTTTTATCAACTTGAGCTAAATCAACTTTATCAACTTCATATGATAAATAAGACGATATTTGTTGTCTAAGATTTTCAATTGAAAGTTTTTTAGCATTATTGACCAAACAACGATAGTCATTTTTATTTTTCTGTTTAATTGTTCTTTTATACCTATGAGATTTTCGATACATAATCTAAAATTAAATTAAATTAAACTTTATCTTTAGTTTTAAGTTTTGTCATCAAATAAGACGGACAAAATTGTGTTATAGATCTCAGGCAACGTTTCAAAATATATTGCGGTCAGTCAGTCGCTATTCCGTTCTTCCTCTATTTCCCCAATTATTCCACTATTATAGAACATGTTATTGTGTACTAGTTTTGTTATATATAGTTTATATATCTCGAATTCGATTTTCGTTTCTAATTGTTTCTACTTCTTCAAAAACAATTAATCGCCATGTTTCCAAAGATTCTTCATTTAACAAGCTATCAATAACATATTTAAAGCAAAAAGAGAACATCTCTTTTATAGTTCATTCTACTGTCATACTCTAAAAAATGTACCTCTAAAAAAGGAAGTTTTTCCTTGCTCGACTTGTCTCGAAAACTTGCTTTTTTAAACAATAATTAACAATATTTACAGTCATATTTCCCAACGACTAAAAGAGATCCATTTCTAAAAAATAGATCAGCATCGTGTACAACTCGTGTACTTTAAACTAGTATAAAAGATGGAAATGGGTCTGCTCTAATTAGTGTAATTTTAGTTCTCGAAGTTGATGCAAAACGAAATAAGTTTACAGTGAACACTCTCCTCCTTG